GTCTTTATTTTACAGTTAAAATAAATATTTATCAAATAAAGTCTAATATTAAAACTTTCGTGGATCCCTTTTACATCAGGTGATGTAAGCCCCAAAGTGAAAGCTTTTGTTGTTTATCTGTTTTGGTGGCACAGGTGTTCAGATCAGTTAATTCTCAGTTACAAGCGCTGTTTATGGTGACACTTCATTGTTTTAGATTTTTAAATAAATATGCAAAAATATTAATTAATTGTTGGAGACATGTCAGAACAAAAACCAACTCAGTCGACAGTAGTTTTATTTGTGGATCGAAGCCACTACAGGTAATCTTAGTTTAACACCTCTGGTGTGAGAGGCAGTGGATAGATGATGTGTATTTCTTCAAAGAATACCAAGGTAGATRTATTTAGCCATGTTTTTAATTAAAAGCAGATGGATTGATTGAGTGGGTGGTTCTACCTGGGAATTCCTGGTGGCAGAGCTGGAGGCACACGGGCTGGCCTTGACGGAACAAGAGGCACTGACGAGTTGGTCTCACCAGCGTAGCCCGGCCGGGAGGGGACGGGTGGAGCTCCAAACGCTGGAGAGGGATTGAGAGGTGGAGGTGGACCTGGGTTGGGTCCCCTCACAGCTGGTGGTCTGTTGGGAGGGGCTGCAGTAGATGTGGCTGGACGGGAGGCCGGGGGAGGGCTGTGACACAGACACACAATAAGTAAGTTCAGAAAGGGATGTTTGCTTTGATTTAAGGAAAAGAATGAGTTTATTTATAACATCTCATAATTTCTCTGCTTCTATCAAAACAAAACATGTTACAGAATAAAAAAAGCCCATAAGATTACAGGAATTTACCTTATATAGAGATTCTTTTGGTTTTCTATTAAAGACCCGTGAAAAAAAAATCTTTGTTGAATGTTATTGTCTATCTGTGCAACATAATTCTGATTCTTCTTCATTATAAATAACAAAATAAAACCTCTTTGTTTAAATGTCTAAAATGCCTTTATAGTAAAATAAATAAAAACTCAAACTACAATCAACAGAATGTTTAAACTTATTAATCCTACATCAATCAGCTCTTACAGCTGCCTAACTAAAGCCAACTAACTAGCAGGAAGCTTTGTACACAGCAGCTGCTCTCTTATCTAACAGCTWTTAAATGACCTCTGCTGGACATGTTGGGTCATAATCTTTAAACATAAGAGAGTTTTGGATTTTTCATTATAGTTTAGTTTTATTTCGTTGTGACTTTTTTCTTTTAATTCAGTTAGTTTTAATTAGTTTTTACAGTGGATTTGCT